CTTTCATCCAGTTTTTCTTGAGTGGTTTTTGTGTCTTAAACTCATTCATTGTAAAAATTATTAAGCATAATTTTTTCATCCAGTTTTTTTTTTTTTTTTTTTTTGGTGGTGCTAGGGATTAGAGCCCAGAGCCTTATACAAATGAGGCAAACACTCTCCAAACTAAGCTATACCCTCAACTTTCATCCAGTTTTTCTTGAGTGGTTTTTGTGTGTTAAATCCCAAAAATACAAAGATAATTAGATAGACTTTAATTTCATCTGTTTGCCATACTAAGTAAATAATTTGCAGTATGAGTGATTTGGCCCAAATTTATTTTAAAAGAAAATTGGTAGAGAGTTTTTAGAAGTATTTTGTGGTATAATTTTATGTAAGCTTATCAGCATTATACTTACTACCTTTGTTATTAGTTGAAATGGTCTTATTTTCTTTACCTCAGTGGTAAAAGATTATTTTAACTGTCTTAAAATATATCCACTTGGTGCTTTATTAAAGTGTATAGTTAAAAATTAAGGATTTTTCAGAATGTTGTAAAATTTATGCCCTATTTTATGATCTTATAAAATACATTCCTAAATTTACTTATAGTAAGTGAGCCCTTCGATTAGAGTGAAATTYTTTGTCTAGGCCTATTATAGGAAAATGTTATATTATAGGAAAATATTATATTTTTATAAAATTTTATAAAATTGGTAAGACAGTAACAGATGTCTGAATGGGATATGTTTAAATGGAATATAATATCTTATAGTAGTTGATATTGAATATTAATATTATTATTTTAATATTTTTCCTTACAAAGCATAATTTATCCCCAGAATAAGGATGGTGAACCAGAGTACAATCCATGCGGAAAGTATATGGTAAAACTTCATCTCAATGGCGTCCCCAGGAAGGTGAATGTCTCTTCCCTTACATACTTTTGAATCTGAGTGGAAGCAATTAAGAAATGTTCTGTGTAAACATTTTTAAAAAGTCAGTTTAGTTGATTTCGAGTCTGTGATTTTTATATATGTTACTCTCAGTAGTGTCACATGCTAATAATGAAAAATAAAATCCATGAAAAATAGTCTGGTGGTTGTTTTGAGATAGGGTCTCACTATGATGCCCACGCTGGTGTCAGACTCCTGGACTCATATATTCTTCATATATGCCTGCCTCAGCTTGTCTTATAGTTGTACCCACCCCCACCACACACACACTCTTTTTTAAAAAGTGGTTCTAAGAAAATTTATGCAAAGTTCCAGTAAGTAACATTGAACTCTAAAGATCATTAATACTTAAAATAAACTTTGAGAGTTTGTAATTTTTTGAATAAAAGGGAATCAGACAAGCTAAGTCTGTTAGGTGAGGAAGAGTTTGTAACCATAAGATGATAGAAGAAGTTTCTAAATTTTCTTTTGTGAAATATGCATAACTTAAGGGCCTTGCATTGTCATGATTTTCTAGCATCAACCTCAGCATTAACTGGGAGCTTGGTAGAATTGCAGAATTTCAAGCCTCACCTCAAACCTACTGAATGAGAATCTACATTTTAATGAGATTCCCTGGTGAATCCGGTCTGAAAGTCATTACTCCAGCTCAGTAATTCTCAAATTTTAGTGTGCACAGAATCACCTGGAGTGCTTATTAAAATATAGATTGCTGGGCCCTACACCTAGAGTTCTTGATTCAGTAGATCTGGGTTGAGACCAGAATTTGCATTTAACAAGTTCCTTGTGATGCTGATGCTGTGTCTGGGAGCACCCATAAAGAGCCACTCTAGCAGATTACTTAAAAACAATTTTTTTTTGAGAATGTTTTTCTGAGCTGTATTTCTTAAATTAACCTCATGTTTGAAAAATCTTTCAAAGTGGAGTCGTAGGGCTGGAGATATAGCTCCGTGTTAGCACTTACCTAACGGCAGCAGCAGCAGCAGCAGCTCCACCACCACAAGAACAACAAACTGGTTTACCTCTTCATGTCAGTGTAATTTCTAAAATTGTRCCTTATTCAAAATGCAGTGCATAATCTTCTCTGTTAGTCTTCAATCAAAATTCTTCTTATCCCCTTGTCTTCTAAACTTAATAAGAATTACATACTGTATCTTTGTGGTGTTTATTTCCTGTTATTTATACATACTTTTTAGCTGTACTTTTCTACTTTTACAACTATGTAAGATAATAGTCTTTTTACAGGTTTAGAATAAAATGGCAGATAACAGTGTTACTTATCTTAATGGTGGGGTCCTTTTAAAATTATCTAAATATAATTACATTTTAGAATTTCTAATAATTTTATTTGTAGTTTTATGAAATGTTAACCAGTGGCTTACCTGACAGGTTAAGCTTGTAAGACACCATATTAAAATGATCAACATTGCTGGGAATGTAGCTCAGTGATAGAACACTCACCTAGATACTAAGGTCCTAGATTCAATCCCCAGCATCTCCCCTCACCAAACAACAACAAAAACCCAACATTTTAAAATTGACTAGGATTTTAGAAGCCTGAAACTGTCATCATCCTAATAATAGACAGACTGTGCCTTTTATCTATATTGAAAGTTTTTTTTTCCTTGACAGGATTTTCAGATATTTTGTTTCACCTAAGAAAGTTAATGTTTTTTTTTTTATAGGTAATAATTGATGACCAGTTACCTGTTGACCATAAGGGAGAATTGTTGTGCTCTTATTCCAACAACAAAAGTGAATTATGGGTGTCTCTTATAGAAAAAGCATACATGAAAGTTATGGGAGGATATGACTTCCCAGGATCCAACTCGGTAAGTAATACTATGATCCAAGCACAGATTTATTTTGTCTAATATGACTATTTTAAACTTGAAAAGTTATAGATGTTTTTGTTTATGGGAAAAGAGAAAGCAGAGTATAAGCCCCTGAGAAATGTTGATGAGCCTCCTTATTATGGGGATATATATGTTCTTGTGTAGGGGTAGCACATTGTGTAAATTAAGGTTCAGGGTGTTGATTTTCTCTAACTTTAATATAACTGTAATGTTGAGCTGTGTGTTACTATCCTTTAGTTGTAGGAGATAAACTAACAAACTTTAGCCAAAAATTGGATTGATGTGACTTTAAATTTTGACACTAACCAGTTTATGACTTTGGAAAAGGTGTTTGCCTTTCTTAGCCTCTTTGTGTGTCTGTCATATAAGGATTATATTCCCCTCTCAGGGTTTGTAAAGACGAAATCAAGTGATACATGAAAATCGCCCATTACTTGTACTCGATTGGTTTTCCTGCCTAATACCAGGCCTCCTTCACTCTTGAGGATTTTATAATGCTAGGTGGAGAATGTAAAAGTCATAGTAGTTTTTCTTCCTTGTCTGTTGCTCTGTCCTTCAGATACTTTTTAGTTTAGTCTTCTAATTCATTGCCTGTTAATTTACCCAGTGCAGCTTGAGAGAAAGAAGGGGGATGTATGTAAACCAGTAGAAATGACTGTCTTCCTGCAACCATGTACTCGGTGGTGGATGACATCATCAAAGCATTTTTTTCTGTTATGTATTTTGCGTTTTTATCAGATTTACCAGTTAAGACAGTTCTGTTACACTCAGAGCAGAAAACAGCTTTTAATTATTTTCTGATTATCCCTATCAGAGTCATTATACCAAATCAATGAGATTTAACAGTTGCCTTCAGAATTTATTTAAGAGTTTAAAAACATTTGACAATCCCTTATTGTGTTTATATTGCAGAATATTGATCTTCATGCATTGACTGGGTGGATACCAGAAAGAATAGCTATGCATTCAGATAGCCAAACGTTCAGCAAGGATAATTCTTTCAGAATGCTTTATCAAAGGTAAACTTTTTTTCTTTTTGGTATTAAAAGAGGCTGTCTTATTTAGAATAGAGATTGTAGAAGCTGTCACTTTTAGTTAACAGGGAAATTGTCTTTAAAATAGACTTCACTTTATGTGCTTGCTACAGTCTGTCCTCAGTTATCCTCAGTGATAATCACAGTTAATCCCAAATTGTAGATAATCCAAAATTTTTGAATCTGGAGAYATATAACTTGGAAAAAATATTTTGCACTTAGTAAATACTTACCAATTCAAGGAAAGATGGGAAAAGAGAAGTCTGAGAATTTAAGTTATAAGTGGATAATCCACATGTAGGGACTGGAGCATTATCCAAATAATAATACACATTCAGTAGCAAACTAGACAGCTCCATGATTTGATAAATAGTATCTGTTGTGAAGAAGTGCATTTGGTATTTCACAACTTCATCCTTATTTATAAACTAAAAATTTAGCATTTGCTTTTCTTTATTGTTAGGTGTCTGCCTAAAAATTGTCGTCTTGAAAATAAAGAAATATAATTTATAATATAATGACTTAAAAATATCTTCTTGTTGAAGTTTCTTTAGGGGTGATAGGGATAGCCCATTTTTTAAAAAGAGTTCTACAAAAACATTTGTAGAAATTTCCATGCTAGCCACTAAACTAAAAGGAAAGATGGTRTGATCTGAAATTCTAAATGTGTTATCCTTTAATTTCTGTCTTTTTGGGGTCATTCTAGATTTCACAAGGGTGATGTCCTCATTACTGCATCAACTGGAATGATGACTGAAGCTGAAGGAGAGAAGTGGGGCCTGGTTCCCACACATGCATATGCTGTTTTGGATATTAGAGAGTTCAAGGTTTTGCCTTAAAATTTTTTCTCTTATTTTCTTATTTGGTAAGACATTGTAAGGATCCCAGTGATCATCAGACTTTTGGAAACTGACAAATCATGGTTTAGATGGAATTTTTAAACCATTCTATGTATTAACTTGACCATTGGGAATTATGGAATTAAAGGTGGGAAATGAGAGTTGACAACACAGATATTGATGTTAGGATAGACACAAAGAAGCCCCCACGGTTCCAGACTGCACGTTGGTGTTGAGGTCAGTTGCAGTGATAAGCTAGAGCTGAGTAGACACCAAGTAACTATTTGTGAAAGGAGGAAAAATAGGAAGATGCTTGGGAAAAGGACACCTGGCAGTGGGTTCGTTTGTGTGAGCAAGCGTTTGTCTTCCTTGGGGTCCTTGTATGCTGTCAGGCCTTTCAGACCCTTTGTCAGTATATACTGGGGCTTAGGTGTTCAGATGTGACTTTGTTTGTTCTTAGGTTGTTATTTTTAACTGAAAATTTGATCAGTTGTATGCACTGGAAAAATTATGAAGGAAGTGTTCATTAATAATAGAAAGTATAGTAATCAGATCAGTCAACAATAACAGAGTGCCCCTGTGTGTTAGACTGCTATTTTTAATGGAAAATTACCATCATAACTTACTTAAGGATGAGAGATACAATCTGATAAATTTGTTGTTAGATGATATCATTGTTATGCAAATATCATTGTACACAAACCTAGATGGTATTGCTTACTTGACACCAGGCTATATTGTACTTGTGTGCTTGTGTCTTATAGCTTATAGTTCCTAGGGCCAYRATGAACAAAACACTGTATTAATTTAATTTGAGAGAATGTGATGTCCTTGAGATATGAGGTAAATATGAGATGCATGAGGCTACTGCAACCTAACACAGCATAAACTTTT